GTGAGCACTATTGAAGCTGGTTCCGTGAGAGTGTAGAATGGAAAGGGGTGGGGGGGTGGGGAAAGACAGGCTACTAATGATCTCCTACTTTTGGCATTCTTGCAAGGACATGCCTTTTATTTTGGTTGATGAGCAGCACCTGTTTCTGGCTCACCAGCTGCAAGCACTGAGAAACTGGCAGTGAGTTTTTAATTTCTTGAGCACAAAACCAGCTGGGAGTTTTTAATTTCTTCTCTATGTCTTTCCCCACTTGTTGCCTCTCCTCTTCTGAACATCTGTATACCTAGAAGCTATGGAAGAAAAGGGGTCGGCAGGGTGGAACATTATTTGGCATATGGTATGCTGAATGTGCTTCCTTCAGAGCCATAATGTAATATGAAATTAACATTTGTAATTGTATTTTAATATACTGTTTACTGAGATTAAGCTGTTCTGTAGCATGCCTTTGTACAAGGTGGAAAGCAAGCACCTATTTTCAGCCAACAGCTAAGCAGAGGGAGACTTGTGCATCATCAGTAAATATTTCTATACATGTAATAATTGTAATTAACTTTTTTAATATTTAAATAAGTGTTAAAGAATTTGGAGCTTTGCTCTGGTTTTGCAGCAGTGTGCAAATTATTTCTTCCAGCATCTGATGTTAGACAAAGAAAACTAGGAGGCAAGTTCTTTTGCTGTGTGTAAATACAGTCTTTTAGTCTAATTAACAAGGATTTATTCCTAATTTTTCTGCTGGAGTTGGATTTCTCTTAGCATTTTTAAGAATGAGAAGTTCCTTTCACTCTGGCGGATTCCCAGTGAGCAGTGGTGTTGCCAGGCTTTGGGGCATGATGGTGAAACATAGGATATGCCTGGCTTCAATAAATATTTTGCTAATGAGGAGATATTTTTAAAGTGGAGGTTTGTATTCCTTTTTATTCTCTGTAAGTTTATCTCTTTTTTTCTTCAACACATCAAGAATGACTCATCCTAATCAAGGAATACATTCAACAAGTGGAATAGAGGATGGGGGAACTACCCAATGCTAAACTACTGTTGGGGAAGAAGGGACTATTTTTCTAGCAATTTAAGGCTTGAAGCTTGCTTTCTGTAAAGAAAAGCTGAAAAAACAAAGCCCAAACCAGAGCCTGCACAAGGCTACTGGCTAGAGAATGTTGCTACCAATCCATTTTGAGTTAAGTCCACCTGATTCAGCCCTGCAATAAACTAGGCAAAACTTTTTTGGTTAAATCTCTTCAAGTGACTGTTGAGGCAGCTGCAGACTTTGTGGCATTACTGGCAAGTGGAATGAATTTTGGAAATTGGTTCTTTTATGGTAGACAGATTTGGAGAAAGAAATAGTAGAGCAGTCATATGTAGTAACAGCTGCTGAAAAGTAAGTTTTGCATAAGGTTTGCAGATAATCAAAACTGTTTAATGCCACTGTGTCCACACAAAATTTGCTGGCCAGTTTCTGCTCTTTCAGCCTCTGTGGGATTTGGTCTCATTTTGTAGAAATGTTTAGGCTGGATTATTTGTGTCCTACGACCTCTTATGTGGCGATACCAGACTTTATAACTGATGCTCTGCACTTCTGGTTGTACCTTTATAATGTTTTCCTGGACAGCCTGTTTCAATGCTTTAAATTCTTTCTTGAAGAAATTTTTCCTAATATCCTGTCTAAACCTCCACTGGCACAACTTGAAGCCATTCCCCTTTGTGCTGTCACTTGTTATTTGGGAAACTTCACTTCAACCTCCTTTCAGGTAGCTCTAGAGAACAATAAGGTCTCCCTTGTAAAAAGATAGAAGGATTGATTTAATTTCTCTTTTACCTCTGACATCACACTGGTGATTGTGCCCAGTCTGTTGCTTTCTTTAAGCTTAATTTATTTTCAGGATTGCATTGCTACATTGTTGCCCTTATCTTCAGGTTGGCAAGTGTCTGGCTCCTTCCAGAATGCATTTGCGATTGGATGAAATAAAATTGTGTTGTTTGAATTGACCCACCTGGGTTTGTTTTTTTTTCCAAAGAATCCTGGACTCAAATGAATGAGCTTTCCTGATGCTTCATTTGCTTTAAGTTTGTGTTATTCCTTTCTTTACCCTCATTTAGGAAAGTTAACCCTATAAAAATTGTGTCATTATTTCCCCTCGCCCTTTGTTTTAATCCTTCCCTGACTGTGAGCACCACAGAACTAAAATTGTCTCTTCCTTTGTACAAGCCCTTGCAAAAGTAGTGTGAGGTATAAGGCTCTTGCACAGATAGAGTTTCCCTGTGAAATCTTGAAGGAGCAGATTTCTTGAACAGGAGGATGCTATGATTTATAATGCTGTCATTCTGCAGATGCACATTGAGCACAGCAGTATCAACTTAGAACATAATTAAAAGGAAAGCATAAGCACCAATTCTAATAGTTTAGTAGGGTTCCTTCAACATCTGATTGCCTGTGCCAATAGCTTCTGATCTGTGCTCAAGATCATTGTTAATAAGGTACTGTGAGCTCAGGTATGGTGTAAGTCCATATGAGTCTTGTAAACAGAAGTTACATAATAGTTGCTTGTATTTTTCTGATGTTTTGCACTTACCTGATTCATTAAGCAGATGACATACAATCACTCAGTAATACTATCTGCCAATTTTTTTTCTTTGAATGTTTTCATGTTTTTAAGCAATGAGATCTGTTTCTTGCATGGAAGTCTATGGCTATGCTTCTATCATAATATCCAGAAATAGCATTCTGGGGAATTTTGGAAAGGTTTACATGTCTATGTGTCATAGGTATGTTTTATATTCTTTTTTTCCATATTGCTTTCAAATTTTACTGGTGTTTAGTAACTGAACATACTCACAGTCTTTCTCCATGGATTGCTGAAAAATAATCAGTTGGAGCTCTAAGCATGGTTATTTTATAGTGCACAATACTGCTACATAACAACTTAGAATATGGACTTGAAACAGTAAGCAGTATGTTGCCTGAGGTGGAATTTGCCCTTGACCCTATCTTAATCCACAAGCAGGATCACCACAGGGATCAGCAAATATACAGCATTTAATACCATGAGAAAATAAAGTGCTGGGATGGGACTGAAGACATAGGTAAAAGCAGATTTCATAAATTGCACCTTTTTTTCTTTTCAGTATGTGACAGGCAGGGGTGGAGAGCATTCTTCTTGTCCCTATCTTGGAAAGAAGAATGCCTGAGTGACTCAAAGGGGCTGTCAGGGACTGCTTATTTCCAAGGTTTTTAGAGACCTTTCCTCTGCAGCTCTACCTGAATGTATTAGTGCCCTGAAAGGATTCTTTGTGCCACTGTAATGTCCTGCTACTCTTAAGAGATACAAGACTGGCAAACAGATTTTTTTCCTTCAATGTCTGAGATAGAAGTGATCTTATGAAATTTTGTGTGTGTTATTTCAGTGTTTATGTTCACTAGTCTATCTTCACTCAGAAAGCTTGTTAAAGGAAAAAGGAGATAAATGCATGCCAGTGTTTGGTTTTAGTACTCAGATGTGTAAAAAGCCAGTAAGGAAACAGCAGTATTAAACACAGAGTGACTCCAAAAAAAATTTTTTTGCTGGCAGAGAATTTGCCTGTTTACAGCTGGGAGTAAACAGCAGCGTTCTGTGCTCAGGTGCAATGAAAAATTGGTTAGCTGAAGAGGAGGAAATACTACTTGGATCAAGCTGCAGAGATAAAAATCATCTCCCTTCTTCTTCAGTGTTACTTATTTACTTTACTTTTTTTTTGTTAGAAAAAGTGTTTGTTCAAAATTTAATTCTGTGGAAGACAATAAGTAATCATGGCTGTTAACTCTGTGTTAGGTCAGTAACCTAGTGATGAGAAATGTGAGATCTTTGCTTCCAGATAGAGTTTTGCTAGCAGGGAAAAATGTGAGGGTGTGGGATATTTTTTTTTAATGGCGTGGGGGTGGTGGGGGCAGTGCAATTTCAGTTTGCATTTTAAGGTCATAACATCAGCAGTATGGGCCCATCTTCAGTAGTGAACACATGGTGAGAAAGATGTAAATAGTAAAAAAAAAAAAAATGTAGTCATAATTTGGATGAAAGCCAGTGAAAGTAAATTGTATTATTGGCAGTTTTCAAAAATCTGCCATTTCCAACACATGATGTAATTTTAGAAAAATACAATTTTTTCAAGTCTTTTCACCAGAAGCATCACAAGATGTTAAGCTGTCATACAAAATACGTATTACAGTCAAATTGATATGAATAAAAGTATCCCAATGTCACAACATAAAAATAACTGAATATAGTCATAAGTGCAAGGAGGTAAAAAAATAAAATACTGTCTCCCACCCTGGCTATCCGTGCCACTGGATTATATGAATCTGATAGTTTTAGCTGTTTCATCTTTCCATCTCACTGACTCCTACTGACTTGTCTGGAACACAATCTTAAATTCAGCAATTGCTGTATTCAAGTAGCACAGAGAACCAAAATGTCAGCAAATAAATAAGGCTCCTCCAAGCAATTGCTCCAGACCTTCTGAATTGTAAAATGTATTACACCAGAGTTAAGATCTGAAAGAAGGGGATGGATGGTAAACGCTGTAAATAAACACATCTTCAGCATAGGTGAAGAAGATCTAGAAAGAAGAAATCTACCTTTCTAGAAAATGCAATGAAAACAGAGAAACAACGTCACTGAAGAAGAGGAGGACAAGCAAGTCCTTGTATCTTATCTGGAAGGCTGGAAAAACTGTGGGAGAAACAAAACAGTTGTAGCATATTTTGTTATTATATCATCTCTTCTGAAGCACTGAAATAGAGCAGTGACAGACTTTATACAAATTTTCTCAAATTTAACCAGATAGGAAATCAAGAAGAGGCAGTAGCCATGCTGTGCTAGTATTTGAACAATAAGGACTTTGTACTTTGCCTGGAATTCATGTAAAACTTGCATAGCTGTTCCCATTTGATGGCTGTTCCAGTTTGCTGGCTGCTGCTGGCAGGGATCCCAGTGTGTCCATGCTGGAGAGAGGGTGAAGGGAGAGCAAGAACAGCAGGAGTGAGTTCCTGCCTGCTTTCACCCACACGCCTTTTAGAGAATCTGGGCTGCTCATCACACCCAGGAGCAAGAGGGATTTTGGAACGAGAATAACTGAGAAAAGGGTTTGTTTTCCACATGGTTAAAAGGGGCTGGCCTTTTTTTATTAGTCCTGATTATCATTTTATTGTGGCTTACTGGCTTACAGAGGGAATTACTGTCTGATATATTCTTGGATTCTGTAAGAGATTGCTGATTCTTAGAGGCTGCTGTTAGATTTATAAATTATGTTGGGTCTTCTCATTTAATAGCTAAGGAAACTGGACAAGCCCTAGGGCCCAGTAGTGGGTTCATCACATCCTAGCACTGTCAGAGAGAGTTCTGCTTTCAGAAGGAATCAAACCCTAACAGAGAAATGTGAATATGCATATTTAAATTGTGGTGATTTTTTAGTAAGTGTGGTCATTCTTATGGTCCTTCAGTAAGAGAAGTGCTCCTTAAATGGCCTGCAGTAAATCAGATGGTTCCACATCCGATGGTATTTAGATATTTTTAATACCACCAGTACTCAGTTCAAGTTTATGTTTTTCTAAGGGACTCTATGTGAGTTTCTATCTTAACACTGATGTGCCTGCTGTGATCAGCTGGCTGTGATTCAAGACCCTGTGGGGAAAAAGTGGAAGACAGCAGAGCTGTTGTATGAGCTTGGAAAGCTGAAAAACACCCTGGGAAGTCAAGAGGTTTCTTAGACATTCAGATCTGTCTGGTTCCTTTGCTCCACTACAGCTCAGCGGGGCTGATCCTCAGCTACTTGGTGTAGACTGAAGATTTTCACTGTAATAGTTTTGGCTTAATCCTGTACCACAATCTCCTTAAATGTAATGCTGCCTAACAGTGGCTGGGAAGGCAGAGCTCTGCCTGTTGTTAATTATTGTTAAAGCAACATGAAGATATTGCCGTTATAGGTGGTGACCAGAGCTATCAGTCATTCTTTGTTGTCACAGATTAATGGCTTCAGGCACTTGCCTCATCATTGCCTCAGCTCACTGGTGTGACAGTGAAACACCATTACACTGCCATCTCAAAAAGATTTGCAATCCTAGTACCAAGTCCTTTGCTTCATATTAATACAGCCTGCTCTTTTGATAGTGGGGTCCTGGCATCTGCATTCACAGTAAGGTCTTGCTTCAAACAGCCACTGCATTGAGTCAGAGAGACTTTTGTGCCTTCCCATTGATCTCTGACCCGTGCACTGGGCAGGGAGGATGAGCTTTCAGTACTGCCTTTCAGGATCTTGCCAACAGCAAAGGGAGACATCAACACTGTAGAAAATTCCATAACTAACAGTGACCGAGTTTGTTGGGGTTTTTGTTGCTTTGTTGTTGTTCTTGGGGGTTTTGTTGTTTGATTGAGGGGCTTATCTTTGTTTTGCTGGGGGATTTATTTGTTTATTTGTTTTGGTGGTGATGGGTTTTGGGGTTTTTTTGGGTTTTCTTTCCCCCTTATTGTCTCAGCCAAATAAGAATCTAGATGTTGCTTAGAAAAATCATTGATCGACCCCAAGTTCTGAATCTTTTAATACTGCTTTCCTGATCAGAGTGACAGTATCTCAGATTTTTTTTTTTGTTGTATGGCTCATCCTCTGGAATGCACAAGGCAGGATTTACTCTGCTCTGGGCAGTTTAGTATTCCTTCAACATTCCAAGTGAACTCGTGTACCAAAAAGGCAGAAAAAAAGCTCTCGGAAAATGCTGTATTTTTCATTTTTGGAGAAAAAACCTCACGTCTTTCATTAATCAAGGTAAAACTTTTCAGTTCTCTGTGTTTAGGAGTGACTCTGTGCTTACAAACATGTCTTGAGTTGTTATAGAAAGTAAATGTTCTTATAACTTTCAAGCTGTTCCTTGATACAGCCAACAACATCTTTGTTCTTGTGCTGTTTTGAACTAGCAAGAAGTGTGGAAAAGCAGGAATATTGCATGGGTAGGATAGTTCCAATTTTTTTCTCTCTTATCAGTGATGGAATGAATGGCATCTAATTTACCTCAGTGTATACCACAAAGTTCTGGTGGGTGCCAGTCTCCACCAGAGCCAGTTTACCATGTACTTCTGCAGGACAGTTTGCACAATTCCACTGCAACATTATCTGTAGATCACTTAGGTCATTCACAAGGAAAAGAAGTACATTTCCCAAACCATTTTTTTTTCCAAAGTGACTCTATTTCAGCAAGCAGAGAAAATCACTTCCACTCACTGGAAGTGGTGCCTGCTTCGCCAGGCAAAAATAAATACTTAACAGTCAAAAATATTGGTTCTAGATTTTGAAAGTCCAGGTTGACTTCATCAAGTTGGCAGGTAGAAAAATTGGCTTGTTAAATTTACAAATGGCATTAAGGTTTGGAGTCCTTTAAGGAAATAATCATAAAGTTATTTATCCTTCTAGTAACTTATAATTTCTAGAAGTTTTTAGTAACAATTGAATGTGTTAGATGGCATCTAAACCAAAGAACAATACAGCCCCTTTCCTAACAGTGACATTAATTTCCAGGATGGTTTTTATTTGATTTTTTTTTTTTTTTTGTTTATAAGCTCACTGTAAAGATTAGATTCTTTTTGTTAAAGTCGATCTGAGGTTAAGTAAGAGGTAAGGTAATAATTTTACCTCATTTGTAAAATGGTGTAAACATTCCTTTCAGTGAACACCAACAGTTCTGTGCATGTATTGAGTAATAGGCACCTCTAGCACATTTTTAAAGCCATTAACATTTTGTCTCCCTTCCAATTCTCACAAGTTCCCCTGGAGTTAGCAGCAGCTGAAAGCAGGCCAGACCTTGGAAAAACTGCATGCAAAATCACCAGAACTTCTTCTGGGTTTGGATTTCTTTATTTTCCTTTTTTCAACAGAATTTATATGACTGACTATGTACCTGTTTCATAAAATGGAAAACAATGAAGTTTGCCAGGGAAAACAAGGGTAAGAAAGACATTCACTGATGCCTTTCCTGGATTTTAAGTGTTGTGCTTCAGAAAATGTAACCAGATAATTTCGCATTTTCCTTGCTACCACTACCCCGACTCAGTGAGGATCTGCTAGTTGCTAATACAGGTTTGGCTCTAATGGCATTTCTAGACCTACTAGCCCACTTTTATAAGACACAGAGGTTTAGGAGTATATATAGTGTGTGGTATAATACACTCGCTATACATTGATCATATTGTAGTATCTACTAATGAACTAGCAGTCAGAAGATGTGTTCTAGCATGTGTATTTTACTTCAGGTGAGCATTTGTAAACTTCCAGTTGCAAGCACTTTGAGCAACTAAAATGTGCAGAGATATTCTTAGGGTTTCCTAGGAAGATAATCAAGTTAAAGCCTGATGCTGCACCTTGATTTTGGAGATGGTCCCGTGGCTTAAGGAGAACTTTCCAGACACTGTGTGTAGCAGGAGGTGTAGTAAACGCCATAATCAATCCATTTCCATAATGACCAGCAAGACTCTAATCACCTTTGTGCTCCTGTCCCGCTCATTCCAGAAGCTTTAACAGAAGCATCCTATGGCTTCATATAAGGGGTGCCACAGGACACTTGTAATTATCCATCATTCTACTGGGAACATCTGAAGAGATAAGTGCAAGTGTCAATAAAGAAATTCAGACACAAAATTCCTGTGTGAAATAATAATAGTAATAATAATAATAACCCCAGAAAATTATACTAATATTATAAAACTCAAGGACTTCTGTGCATATTCAGGAGCTCCATCTGCTGGCACTCTTTGGTTGCACCTATACTGAGTTGCCATAAAACTTCAAGAATAGTAGTTTAAAGTCTACTGTAAAACTTGCAATTGTTTTGTTTTTTTTTTAATCTTACCACTTTACTTTTGCTTTTAGGAGCTACATAAACATTTGGCTAATTTTATGCCTGTTTCCAAGAACCTGTATATCAGATCCTTCAAAACCTAACTTTTTACTGATACTGGCTGATGATCTTGGTATAGGAGATGTGGGTTGCTATGGCAATGATACAATAAGTTATGAAATAAATTATCCCTTCCTGGTGAACTTCATTATAAAGACCTTCTGATGATACTTAGCATTAAAATTCATTATTAATGTATTCATTTATCAAGATACACTTCTTTTCAAACTATGTACAAAATGCATCTTCTACAGTAATTCCTACTGCAGTCATAATTATATAGGCATGCTTGTAAAACTTTCTGGGACTTAGAACTTTGCAAATGTGTCTGTGCACTTTACTTGTCAGGCATGAGTATAATACATAAATTCCCACAATTACAATGTTGAAATATGAAGGAATGAGATTAGAATTTAATATCAGGTAGCAACTTTAGTAGATTTATGATGAAATGACATGTCAGTCTATGTGATATATTTATCCCTAGTGCAGTTATTAATCTGTATATAGATTAGTTGGGAGAATGATGTGTCCTTGTTCTAGCCTATTATTGTCTTGGATGTGTTGTGAACAGACTCTTGTTCCTTGTACTGCATGGGTTTTGGTGTGGGACATACCAAAATATCTTGTCTTTCCCCTCCCCCCTTTTTTTATTTTAGTGTTATAAAAACACACATACCCTTGGAATACTCATTTATAAGGAGTCAAGGTATCTCAAAAATACATGCAAAACACAGAATTTCTCTAGATGAGCTGTAGGTAAATATATTTTTGTAAATTTGATGGTGATATGCTCAACAAAACTAGGAGGAGTGGTATGCCATGAATTTCTCAGAGATGGGACTTTTCTCTTTAGGACCCCTAACATTGATGGCCTGGCAAAGGATGGAGTGAGACTTACTCAGCACATTGCTGCAGCAGCTGTCTGCACTCCAAGCAGAGCCGCTTTCCTGACTGGCAGATACCCTATCAGATCAGGTTGGGCCTCTCTCCAGTGGTTTGCTGCAGTTAGTCTAGTCAGTGTTGATATTAGAAAATCCCCTTAAATAAACCATATTAAAGAACAGTTAATCTTGGGATTTGGAGTCTCAGTGAAATCGGCAAAAATTAGAGATTACTAATGATTGATTTCTATGGGAAAATCCCCATATAGAACACATTATGTATGGCTAAATGAAAACACAGAAATGGATGAAAATCCAAACACTACATACCACCCAGAGGTAGAAAAAGAAAGAAGAAAAATATGTGATGTTGTATGTTAAGTGGCACTAGGATTATGTTAAGTGTAATATTTTTAATATCCTGCAAACCTTTTCCAGTGAAATGTGTCAGGCTGTAAAAGAGCTCTCAGCAATTGTGTCTTAAAACACATTTACTTCAGCCATGTAAATTTATGACAGAAGACTTCAGCCACTGCATATAGCAGTAATAATCAGTGTAACTTCTAATGTGATTCTGACTCACTAGAAGAGAAATATAATCATGAACTGTACATTTCAGAAGTGTGTTACCTTAACCCTGTAAGCCTTTTGTTCTGGATAAAATTTATTTGCCTTTTTTTTCTTTTTTTTTTTCTTTTTTTTTCTTTTTTTTTCTTTTTTTTTTTTTTTTTTTTTTATAACATCATATTTTGATAGAACTTTGATAGTAAGTAGTTGCCTAATATCCAGTCTGCCATTTGTAGACACCCCATCATAGCTGAGGCATCTACATTGCATTAGCATATGTTGACATGGAACTTGGAAAATACGTCATTTTGGAGGTCAAGCAGAATATCCTAGGGCATAGGAAATGGCTTATAAAAAGGCACTAGGCTTAGGCAACTGAGTCCCATTAATTAGAAAGCACAGTCTGAGAAGACTGGAAATATGAAGTCTGGCTTGTTTTATTCTAAAGACTATTATTCTTCTCTAGGCATGGCATCCAGCACCCAACAGCAGGTTCTCTTCTGGAATGGTGGTTCAGGGGGGCTCCCACCAAATGAAACTACTTTTGCCAGAATACTCCACCAGCAAGGTTATTCTACAGCACTTATAGGTATGAAACAAAGTTATTGGCTTTTCATTTTTTGTTATTCTAATTAGTTTTCTTCTGTAAATACATTTTTTTGTCAAAATATCCAGGATTAGTTAAACTAGAGTTTCTTGTATGCATAAATTTAAAAATCAGCAGGGTTTTTAGAACACTATCCACAAGTCCAATGTGAGTGCAGCATATCTGGTAAATCCAATATGAGGTGTATGTAATACATAAATACACACTGCAAATGGAAGTAAATTCAAAGGAAAGAATCATGTTTTCCCAGGAGAGATTGCTTTAGGATGAACCCGCAGAGATATTTACTGATGTATTAGAGCAGAAAAATGTCATCTGCCAGTTGGCAATGAGACACCAGAGTGGTCTTAATTGTATCAATTTCATCACAGTGGTGCTAGTGATACTGATTTCAGCAAGGTTTTAAAAACCATCTCTCACAGCATCCTTGTAGGCAAACTCTGGAAGTGTGGACTGGATGAGTGGACAGGGAGATGGGTTGAGAACTGGTGGAACAGCTGATCCCAGAGGGCTGTAGTCAGTGGCACAGGGAAGAGTTGTCACCAGTGGTGTCCCTAAGGACCGAGCCCAGTATTGTTTAACTTATTCATCAACAAGGAAGATAATTAGGGGACTGAAGTATCTCTCTTATGAGAAAAGGCTGAGGGAGATGGGCTGTTCAGCCTTGAGAAGAGATGGCTGAGAGAAGGCCTCATCAATGTCTGTCACTGCACTACTGCTCCCTGAGTCTGTCCCCATTCCACACCAGCTCCTCCCTTGGCTGCACCTTAACAGAGAAGTACAGGCAGACATACCCTAATACAGCATTTAAGATCTTTGCTTTTTATTTCCAGGGAAGTGGCATATGGGTGTGAACTGCAAAACCCGCCATGATCACTGCCACCATCCTTTAAATCATGGTTTTGATTATTTTTATGGCATGCCTTTTACCCTTCTCAGTGAGTGTCAAGGCACAGATGACCCTGAATTGGCCAAGTCATTGCAAGATGCATATTGGTTTTACACTCAGATGATCATCTTTGCAGTATTTACCCTTGTGATTGGAAAACTTGCCAATTTATTCCCAGTAAAATGGAAAATAATAATCTGTCTGGCCATCTGTGGTCTCCTTCATTTCATCTCCTGGTTCTCCAGCTATGGTTTCACCAAGTACTGGAACTGTATCCTGATGAGAAACCATGACATCACTGAACAACCAATGAACCTACAAAAAACTACTTCTAATGTGCTGAAGGAGGCAATTACATTCATTGAAAGGTAATCAGCAGAGGTGAGGAGCAGACTGGGGGGGAACAAGCAATGCAAAGGGGACCTGGCCAAATAATGTCCTTCTGCCACAGAAAAATGATCTTAGGGTGATGAATAAACTGTCCTACAAAGTGTCATATCAAGTTAATGTTTTGCAAACAGGAGAGGGATAGTGAGTTTTATTTAGTTTGCGGTTTTTGGGTTTTTCTTTTCCCCCCCCCCAAGATAGCCTTCATTTATTATCAATATCCTCAATTGGATTTGAAAAAACTGCTAAGTCTTTAAAAGTATTTTTGTCTTAAATCTGGGCATATCCATATTTCTGCCAGGATTTAGGGGTTGTGTGTTTGTTTTTTAAAGGAAATTTGAGTTAATAGAAATTCCTTCTCTAAAACTTTGAGCATAGATAATCTCAGGTTCCTAGGATATCTTACCTGGCTTGACATTGAAGCAATATAGTTTCACTGTGGGTGATATCTGCCTCTTCCATGAGGACACCTCAGGTGCTCATGGTGCACATCCGTGTTTAAATTTAGGCAAGTTAGTCCTAGTCTCCTTGCTTCTAGGAATGTGTCAGTCTTGGCTATGACCTCTTCTAGTTGTTTATTTAATATTTTGCATGCCTAATTTGTAACTGGAAAAAGAAAGAACCCATTACTGTTTTGGTCTTAACATAGAAAAAACATCTTTGAGGCACATGTTTTAATCCCCTCTGCCTCCAAAAACTTCAAAGCTGAAAAGATGTCAAAATAAAAATTGTTTAGGTCTCAACAATATAGAGTAGCAGAAATACTGTTATATTTTGGCTTGAGTAACAGTTTGAAGATAAATGACTATTGTTTTCTTTTATTCCAGAAACAAGCATAGACCATTTCTTCTCTTTGTTTCCCTTTTACATGTTCACACCCCTCTCATTACCACAGAGAAGTTTCAGGGAAGAAGCAGGCATGGCCTGTATGGAGATAATGTAGAGGAGATGGACTGGATGGTAGGTAAGTGTTGGTCCTGAAGAAAATTCTTCATTCACTTGGATGTGGTAAAGGCGTTAAAGGGCTGATCACCAAACTCCCTTTTGGCATATGTAAAAATCAGTGAACTCACCTTGGTTACCTAGCTGATTTCAGAGATTGCCATAGTGCAACCATACAATACAACTTTTTTTATATTCTTAAGATGAAAGCTTAAACTCTCCTTGTAAGGATTTGTTTGTTATCTTTTTTTTAAATGACATGCTTCTATGCTGAAGTGTTAAATGCAGTCAAATAACAAAATGTATCTCTGGTCATGTTGTTAATCAAAATGTGTGACACTTCTCCAGTGCTGGTCTTAGAAGATGTAGTCACTGCTGAATATTACATGATATGATGGTTGGTTTGTGTACCTATTCATTTTTATTTAAAAAAAAAAAAAAAAACAACCAGAATTTATCCTAGCCAGAAGTTAGAATGATATGGAGTTTCACTTAATAAATTGTGTGAAGTCAGTGAAAACTCCCTTAGCTTTTAATCTAGGCTCTTGAATCAAGATAAATTTCTGATTGGTTAATTTGGTTTAAAAGCCTAACTTTACTTAGTTTTTTCTTTTCAATAAGAGAGAGAAGGAAAGGAAAGGAAAGGAAAGGAAAGGAAAGGAAAGGAAAGGAAAGGAAAGGAAAGGAAAGGAAAGGAAAGGAAAGGAAAGGAAAGGA